TATATGGCCCTTTATGGTTTTTTTTTTCCTTCTTCATGCATTAATTGGTTATTATGCAGATGTTTGTGGATTTATTAAGTATATGTCAAAAAAAAAAGCATAACAATCTAAGGGCCTACCTCTCCTTTCCATTCTATATAAATAAACCCCTAACTACCCTCTCTATACCATTATCTCTCACACTCTACACTCGTTCTTTCACTGCATACTTTTTATTCTCACCCAAATCACGTTTTCGTTTGCTCTCACCGGTTCAATACTTCCACTGTCGAGACAAGGGCCTAGAGCCCCCCTCCCTTCTGCCATCACATCACCGCTACCTGTCGTCGCCCTCATGACAAGTAGCACATTATTAGTTTACTCCCTCACCTCTCTCTCCCCCCCTCGACTCTGACTATTCTCTTCTAGTTTACTCCCTCACGCCTCTCTCTCGAGCCTGAATATTCTCTTCTTCATAAGGCAATGCTGAGCATCCCTTGGTTGCGACAAGAGCTCGCCATACAAGACAATTTGGCAGTCTTTCACCTCATGGAAAGGAGTACTTATTCACAGCACACCCAAATCTACGATCTTGTAAGTACACTATGTGAGATATTTTATTATTCTACTCTCCTCATTCATATCATTTTCTGTAAATTACAATTAAAAAGCTACGAGCTTGTAACCATCTCAGAAAATTAAATATGAAATGAATTAGCTCAACTCGGCTATCCATGTTAATAAATACAGCTGGAGAACCTTAACTTGTTTGCTCTATTGAAATCAAAGATATCGCTTGCAAAGTTGCAATTGAGATGTTATTGTGGAAAGGAAAATGAAACATGAGATATACAATATTTGGAGTGGTTGCAGATAATTGTTTTTGGGTTTTGCAGCTCAGAAAAGATAACTTTATAACATTTATGCATTATTATATGTCAAGACACAAACTTTATTGTCATTAAAAATACTTATTAATATAGACAGTAAAATTTATAATAAGTTATATTATTAACAATTTATGCATTCGTATACACATTATGCTTCTTTTGCACCAAGACATGTTGATCATTAAGTGTTATTAAGTAGCAATAAATAAAATATGCATTCAATTTATTGATTTTATTGTTAATTATAACATACTTTTTATCGAGAAAATTACAATTAAATCCTAAAAATAAAATTTAATTATCTTAAAATCCATGATGATTAAATTCCTTGAGGAAGCTCATAATAATTCTTCCCCTTTTATTTTCAATTGTATTACTAGCATAAAAGTCTAATTCTAATCTGATGGCCTATTTGTGGTCTTGTTCGTTTCTGGTGTCTGTCCCCTTTCATATAAACGCCTGCCGTCTCCGTGTTCAAACGCATCCCAAGTCACATCCTCTCATAATCTCACCGCATTAACGTTGTTTTCAAAGGGAATAATTTTCCTATCTCTTGTTAATGGAGCTTCCTCTATTTGGGTTGAAAGATCATCCCTCATTTTTATTGTCGCATAAAGTATATTAATCGCTTGCTCTCAACTTGCTGGAAAGAGATACCATGCACAGACTATTGTATGATACTATGATCTTAAAGTCCAAAGACTTTCGGTTGCAATTTTCTAGCACTTCCATCAAAAGTAACAGTAGAATCAGTTGAGTCTATCATGCCTTGATCTATAGAAAAGTCTTTGTGCAGAAAGTCTTTGAATTTTGAATTAATAGAGCAATCGACTCTATGAGGCAATGCCACCGAACTGAATAGATACTTATCCTCTTCTCACCACCACCAAAAGATTTTTTACTTGAATAAATGATACTGTATTTCGCGATGTATTGTGTCTTCAGGAGTCACTATGAAAGAAAATATTCATGTAAATTACCATCTACGGAAGAAATGGGAAAACTGAGAGAGAAAATAGTAAACCAAAATAATAAAAAATCCATGGTTGTTACCTGATTTTAATCAAAGAAATCACAATCGAGATCTGATAAGAAGCAAAATGCAAAAGACATTTCAAAAATAGAAACGCAATAAAGATGCTAGCAAACCGAAGCTAAGTTGGCTTAGCTTGAGAACATGAATTATGGAATGCACAATTAATCTGTAAAGAACAAACAGCATGGGTTAACATAAAATAAAAAACATGTTATCCTCTCTATGGAATCTGATATCAGAAAAGTAGATGATAAGATATTAACCATAACTCTTGGTCACATGAGGCTTCTTTTTTTTACTTATGAAACATTGCTTAGTGACGCTAAAATATTTCAGAGAGGTAAATAACAGAACACAGTAAAAGGAAGAGGAAAGAATAGACGGTGATAGTTACTGGATTTTACTTAACTTGCCTACTTTATAAGATTCAACTCTAATTTCACTTGCTTACTTATTTAAAGTTAAGTGAGATGAGTATTGCAAATAAATAGGTGTTCAAATGAAACTCCCACAGACCTAAGAGCTTCTTCAACAGATCAGAGTAAGAACAGAAAGCACAAAACGAAAAGTGGAAGGGAAAAAGAGAAGCTGGCCACTTCAACTAGAAGAAACATACCTACGAGGAACTCGCATCACTGTATATATTCTTGACACTAATGTTAGACTCGGCTTAGATTCACCTGCCCAAAATCCAGATCCGATGTATATATTCTTCAACCAGAAGGGTTTTCAGGTCAAGTAGTTGTTACTGGCCGGACTCCACGACGGTTTTTTTTAAAGAACCGGTTTTCATATTAGGTCTTGGGATCAAAGAAAATCCATTCTTGGAACGAACCCCGGAGCGGATCTGCCAGAACCAGACGACTAAACTTGTAGAAAGAGATGGGTGTAGAAAAACAAATAACAAATCACGTCTTGCTCCAGCTCCTCCTGTATCTGCTCGTCTTGGTCGTCTGGTGTGTGGGTGTGTGTGTGTGTCTTGGTTGGAAAGTCCAAGCTAAATCAAATGGAGAGAAGACGAGGAAGCTAACGGCAGAACAAAAGTGGGAAACAAATAAGATGAAGATGAGGAGGCGGACAGAAAAGATATAGTGAGAAACCAAAAGGTTGGGTGAGGCTCAGAGACCGAGTCAGAGTGGGGGTGGGTGTAACTCTAACAGAGTTGGCTAAAAGTGATGATGAAATAGAGGAAGGAAGCAGGAAGAAAAGTGTGAGAAGGGAAAAGAGGAAATGGTAGAAGAAGAAAGCAAGAAAAATGAAAAGAGACAGAAATAAAACTAAGGAGGAAGATGAAAATGAGAAATGAAAGAGATAGACTTGAGAGAGTTAAAAAAGAAAAAAAAAAAAAAAAGAACAGTAGTAGCCTGATTATCTAACTGTGCAGAAGAACCTAAATGAATCTGAAGACTAGAACTGGCGTGGGGCAGGTTTTGAAATTATCAAAATGGAAATAGGGCTAATGGCTGAAATAATCATATTATCTTTTATTTTATTTATTTTTTTAAAAAAACTAAAAGCCCCCATTGGCTGGCTAGTCATCAGAGGCTGCCGGCAACAATTTTTTTTAAAATTTTTTACAACTTTAGTAAAACGGTTAACAACTTTTGTAACGCTATTAACAAGTTCAGTATAGCAGTTAACTACAGGTTTTTCAGAAAATTCAAAAAGTATCATTTTTACAACATCAGTAATGACGTTAACAAGTTGCGTAACTCTATTAATAACTTCGGTATAGTATTTAACAACAGATTTTCTTAAAAATTCAAAAGAATGGCATTTTTACAACTTTAGCAACTACTCTTTTTTAAAAAAAAAAATTTACAACTTCACTAAAACGGTTAACAAATTTTGTATTGCTATTAACAAGTTTAATATAGCAATTAACAAGTTTTTTAGAAAATTCAAAAAGTAGTATTTTTACAATTTCAATAATACCGATTGTCGACCAGTGGGGCTTTTGGTTTTTTAAAAAAGAATAAATAAAATAAAGGGCAATATGGTTATTTCACTAAATTTAAAAATCCCAAATTAGTTACTTGTACCTAAATTGAAATTTTACAAATTCAAGTGACTATTTTAGTATTTCCAAATTGAAGTATCATTTTTGTGTCATTTTTCCAAGATGAAATCACATAAATGCACTTGGAGTCAAAATAAAATAAGCATTGCAACACCCATATTAGCCAAAAATGAATTGTTAGAAAATCAAATCATATGAAAATCTTGTTTGTTTTTAATTTTGATCCTAAATATAAAATCCCAATTTATTTTACTCGCATATTTATATATTTTTTCCAAAATAATCTTTCTAATAATAACAGTTCTAGCCAATACACTTGATTAGTAAGGATATTTTAGAAAAGAGTATTTATTATAAATAACTAACTTAACTTATTTCCTTAATCTACTCAAATTAGTCAATTAGCTCTTATATTTAGGAGCTGAGGTAGTATTATTTTTGTAATTAATATAAAACTAGCTGATTAATTAAAATAAATTTAAAAAATTAAATTAATTATTTATATTAAAGAGATATTATCTTTTTTAAAGTACTCTTACTAATAATGTGTATTAGGTAGAATTACTTTTTAATGAATTATTTAACGTATACAACTATTATGAGGATTATTTTTAAAAAAATAAATAAATATAAAAAATAAAGTGAATTAGGATATTAATTTATGATAAATTAAATGTTAAACTTACTTTTATATTTAAAAACAGCTGTAGTATTTATACTTTAATTATAAAAATTATAATATGGGTCCCAACTTTCAATTACAATCACAGGCAACACGTGAGCTGGCTATTCGAAAACAAAATTCAACACTGAAAGGTGCCTGCCAGAATTTTGCCCAAAAAAAAAAAAAAGAGTTTCAATTACAACAACTCTCCATTCTGCTCGCAGTTGGCTAGATTAATGGGCACATCCTAATTTTAAGTAAACTTGATTAATTAATTAATTAATTAAAGGGACTTGTTCTAAGTTTGCTTAGCCATATCTGTCCATGAAAGCTCTGGCCTTTTCATCATTTCATGTGCCTTAGTCAAGTACTTCCTGAATCTGCTCCCGTCTAACTTCACACACTATTCTTTCAAAATATATCTCTCTTACTCCATTTTCCCCCATGAAAGCCTTCTTGGTTCTTCACCACTAAGCTCTCACTCCCATATTTATCTGATAAGCTGCTTTCATTTGCCTCCGCCTTGTATTCCATATACTCCAACCCCAAAACCCTGCTTGTCTTCTCCCCATAGTATGTTCTAGAAGCCCACTCTGTTCCTAATCCAGTAGGCACCCACCACCTGCGTCATAACTGAACTGATCCTGCCCTCATAAACAATAAATGAGTCAACCCGGCCCCATGAACCCCTAACAACGCATGACTCGTGTGAACTTGCTTGTAATCATCCGCCATTGATTTGTTATCTCCCGAAGCTTCCAACAAGCTCACTTTGAACCCCACTTCCTTAGCCACCTTAATGATCTCATCTTGGTTCAACATCACACGGCTCACATTTCCTCTCCTAGCCACCAACATTAGACTCGGCTTAGGTTTCAGAGCAGAGATAGAGCTTTCCATGTGACCCGCTGGAGTTCTATCTCCGGATCCCATGTGTATATTCTTCAACCGGCCACGGAAGTCGACTAGGGTTTTCCGGTCGGGTAATTGTGTCGGGTCGATGGTGATGGGCCCGTGCTTCCGCAACCCAATTGTCGCGGATGGAAAGCAGTGTGTGGTGGTTGAGGTGTTCGTGTTGATCATCGGGTGTTGGGTAAAACACTAAAACTAGAGAGTAACTCGGCGTACTTATGAAACCACCACGTGGCACCTCAACTGATCACAAGCATTACATCATAATCAGGGTAGAGGGAATGGACGGTGATAAGGAGCGGGATGAAGCTCTCATTGAATTCATGGAAGAAATTCCCTGTGTAGCGCCCCCACTGAATACGAGGGCTGCGCTTCTGTGTGTGACGGTGCATCGGGATTTCGGTGGGGATGGAGGTGAGCGTGATGGCTTGATTAGGGACATGGCTCCCTTGTCGTGCTTGCGAGGGTAAGGACGGATTATAACGGGGAAGTGAGGCTGGGCCCAATTCTGGGGGCCCAAAGTGAAGAGGATTGATTGGGCCAGGTTCAAAATCATTGGGCAGTTCGCAAAGCATATGTCGAAGTCGCTGTGAGATCTGTCGCATGTGATGGAATGACTACTAATATCCCATTGCGAGGGGGACAGCACAGGCCTCAGGTTCGCTTTCCAGATGCTTATGTCTGCAAAATAGTAAGGTGCACATTACCAATAGAGATTGGGTAGAATTAATCTCTTTCTGCCTGTCTCCGAGGCTCAGGTTTAGCTAATAACTGACCTATTTTTGTTACATATTACTCATTATTGTATGATTAAATGAAATTGTATATAATTTGTTTTCCAAATTTCAACCATAATAAAATTAAAAACCAATCTTCCCCAACTTTAAAAACCGAATACTGAATGCCTTAGTATTTTTTTTTCATTTATTTAGATAATTTTACATCATTAATTAGTCTATTACACCCCATAGAAAAATTATGGATTAAGGTGCAAATTTATTCCAAAAGTTTTTACTTATGAGTTTTGGGTATCTGAAAGGCTTTTTTTTATAGCAAATTTGTCCAAGTTTAAAATTGTAGTTAATTGTCTTTTACTGTGAAAAAACTGACATTAACCATTAACATTTTTAATGGGAAGGGGTAATATTATTATGATTTTAACTTTTTGGGGCAAATTAGCTCCCAAAAAGACTTCTAGATGCCCAGCACTCTTGATTGGAAACTCTCAAAGCAAATTTACATCTTAACTCAAAAATTATTTACCTAATCTTGCGAATTCATAATTATTTTCCCAAATAATTTCATTGATTACATATGTTAAGGAAAATTTTCATCAGTTAAGGGAGTTCCCAACACATATAATGAAGAAGTTATTTTAGGAAAATTAAAAAACATTCATTATAAATAACTAACCTAACATATTTACTAATTTTTATAAATTAATTATGGAGCTCTTATATTTAGAATAGAATGAGAGAAGTACATTACCTGAGAGAAGAGTAACTTGGAGGAAGAAGATGAAGAGGAGTAATGTAATGCATAGAGCTGAGTTCGACCATCTTGATGCCTTCCCTGAGCCCACCATGAAAATATGTGTGTGTGTGTGTCAGATACAACTTCTCAATCAAGTAACCGTAGCCGTAACTGATCAAACTTAATTACCTTCTTCACAAATCACAACTCTCATTCTTCCTTCAAACCTGCAACATGTCACTCCATATATATCAACTCTTTGCATATATACCCTCGTTATCAAATTATATATACTATTACCTCCGGTCTGAATTATAAGACATCGTTTGTAAATTATAAATGAGATCTTATAATTAAAACTAGAGATAATACTTTCGATCCTATATACTATCTCCGGTCTTAATTATAAAATCCTGTTTGTATTCTATAAATAATGTATTATAAATATGAGCGGAGGTAACATAGAATTTATTTTGTAATGTGTAAATTGTACTACAAAGTAAATTTTATATTTAGTACCCGCAATAGTAAATAAAATGTGCATTTACGTATTTGGTTTCACGTTAGAAATACAAGCTTTCATCAAAACCATGGTTTCGTGTGAGTGTAGTTTCTTACCCGAAACCAAACTTACTGTACATCGATACAATAAGTTGATTCTAGGAGAGAAACAAAAACACACACACACACTTATATCTATAAACGCTTCATAATCATCAAGCACATCTAGAAATGGCCAAAACATACAAATCTTCATTTTCTTTACCTGCATATATATACAGATATGTTGTTATCCATGCAAAGTTTTGAAGGAGACCATTAAGAACTGCATAGAGCTCAAAGAATGAAGCAGTTTTATATATATATATATATATATATAGAGAGAGAGAGAGAGAGAGAGGAGATTAATAGGTATTGTGATAGATAAGATGGAGGAGCGAAATAGAGGTGAGAGATCAGACTTACAAAACTTTCATAACATAAATTGATTATCTTAACTGATATTAGGCCTTTACCTCCTTCTTCTTCTCTCACACTTTTAATTAGTACACTAACAAAATATTAACTCTATTCTAAATATAAGAATTAATTAACTAATTTAAATAAATTAAAAAATAAGTTAAGTTAGTTATTTGTAATAAATATATTATTTTTCCTAAAATATCTTTACTAATTAAGTGTATTGGCTAGAACTATTATTATTATGTTTTATGTGTGTTGGAATATTTTTTATACAATAAGTTTATCGTAGATGCTATTGAAAATATTTTTTCTCTCATATAAATCCCTAAATAGTAATAATTTCAATTGCACTGTTGCCAAGAAAATAATATTACTTTTGATTATGCAACCTAATTTTCACAATCTTGGTTGGGAAAAAAAAAAGGTCTCTCTTTCCTATTGCTGTGGCAACTGGCAAAATTAATTATTAACTTTCTAAGAGAAGATGAATCAGCAGATAAATAAACAAGATGTCTTCCAATTTCAACAAAGCTTAGTCCTCTTGTTCTATTCAATATTTATAGCTACGAAAGAGAGACCTTTTCAAAAAAAATCTAATATAATTCACCTCATTAAATATATTATATGAATATAAGTATAATTTTATTCTTGATTTGTTCTGTAAACTGTTATTATCTTAAAAATATATATTTTAAATAAGAATAAAATTCGTAAGTTATTAAATTTTAATATAGTGTTAATAAGGTTTAAGATTTAGCTTAATTTTGATAAAATGTGTTAGGAGTATGTGATTACGAGGAAAATTGGAGAACATTCTTGATTGTACATGGCATTACAGACAAGGAAAGATTGGTAAGAATATTTAATATAATTAATTGATGTGATTATTAGGGTCAAGAATAGCAATATAATAATATATAATAAAAAATTAAACGAGTAAAATTATTGACTAATTACAGTTGCCACATCTTGGTCATGATGATTTAAAAATTCACATCTTGTTTGTTGAAATATATGAACCTTAATCTGAATTTGGCGAGCGGTTGTTTTGAATTTGGACCTTCGCGCATACATATCACTGTGCTCCAAATGTTCTTTTCTTTCCACATTCCCTCCCTATTCGATATGACCCAGTCTAGCCCCCAGGGGGAAAAAAAATCATTTTTTAAATTTCATTTCATGAGAAAAATTTTAGTAATTTATTTAATCCACATGTATGACCTTTTCTTTCAATTTTTTTCTTATAAGAAAGTATTTAAATGCGAATATGTTAAATCCACTCATATATGATAAAACATTAATTACTAGAAATTAATGATAAAACATTCTAACAACAGTTTTGTCGTTTTTATACTTATTTTGAACTTGCTCAGGTAGATTTGTAGTTAAGAAAAATATATGATGATTAAGGCACGTTAGGTATGAGTTAATAAGTATCTTTACACATTAAACCTAATAAATATTAAAAATTAAGTGCAATTATAATAATAAAAATTAAAAATTAAAATATCTTCTTAGACTAATAATCACCTAAAATGACATAGTTAAAAATCTTTTAGTAATAATCTCAAATCGCTTCTTTTCTTCTGTTCTTATTCCCATCATGTCACTCAACCTTTTTTTTCCCCTCGGAGTAGATAATTTTGGCTTTCGTAGAAACCATTATTTCTGAGCTAAAACTATGATTTTGGTTTTTTTCCTGATGTTTGGTATTTTTTTTCAAACCATGGTTTGAATCCCCAAGCTATGATTTGGGATGATATCCAAACAGATCCTAAAATTAAAAAATATAGCACAGTACATCCCGATTTGATGACTATTATAATAAAGGAGTTTGATTATAGTTCTGATGCAGTAACCCATTAAGGTTGTTGCACGTTCTCGTACACTGAATACGTGGTACAGAACAGGCAGTCTGTTTTTTTTTTTTGTAGAAAAAAAAAGAATTGTGAAGGGGATGAGGATGATGATTGAAATGGGCCAGAATCATAGTGGGCCCAAAGAAAAATCATTAGGAGCTACTGGCCCACAGGCTGACACAAAGCAGTGAGGTCACTCGTCAGAGGAGTACGGATTCCCTCGTCTGAGTACTTATACTGCCTCCGGTCAAAAAAAAGAATGAGTACTTGTACTGCCATTTATTGCCAATACGGAGCGTTTCATCGTAAGTTGACGTTCCCTAGTACTTGTTATAAGGCATTCTCAACTAATTTTTATATGAGGGTGTTTGGCAACCTCAAAAGTTCTTCTCAGAAACACTTTTTTCGTAAAATGAGATAAATTCCTTCATATATTTATATTGTAAACTGTAAAAAATTTTCTGAAACTATGGTTTGGTTTTCATCTAAACACCCCCATACTAAGAAATGACAGTTAAAGCATTAAATCTGTTGCTAATTGATAATTTTTCCAAATTTATCCCCAACTTAAATAATGCAGATAGATAAACACGGAGTTCAATGAGTTTTTTAACGCTAAGCCATAATTATTAACGAGGATAAAATCAGAGGGCAGCAATTAGTAAGTTGGTTAATGACTGATATTTAGGAACAAAAATTCCTTCTAAATAATGCCCTGATCAATGGCTTATCAAGAGCCATTAGTAAATCATTTTTAATTACCTAGAAAAGCTAAGAAATACAGTAAAAACAAGATGAGCAACTCAATCACATTCACGGTTCCCCCCAAAATCCCACCAACCCATTGCCCTCCTTTCTCTGATTTTGTGTGTGGGC